CTCCCGCTGCCCCCTCTCCTCCCACCCCCCACCCTCTCCCGCTGCGCCCTCTCCTCCTCTTCCTGTACCCCCAGCACTGGTATTGCAGACTTGCACCATCAGGCCCAGTTTTACCTGGTGCTGGGATCTGAACTCAGGTCTTTGTGTTGGCACGGAGAGCAGTGGAATCTGAACGGTTTGTTAGAAAACTAGTCATTCAGAGAAGTAGAATGAGAGGACTCTCTCTCTCTCTCCTTATGAAGTTAAAAAAAAAGATTAAAACAACAAAACAAGACACTCACTAACAGAAAAATGTGGAGAAAAACACAAACCTTGGAGGGAAGTGTAAATTAGTGCCATTGATTTGGAAGGTAAACTAGCAATTAGTATCCAAAGAGTTAATCATTTCCTTTGATCTAATCGCTTTACTTTGATTGATATATCCCAACAAAATAACTCAAGAGTTTGGTAACAACAAAGTAGCAAGGCCAGGGAAGTGAGCGACACACTGCATCTGACCTACGGCATTGGCAGGAAAACGCAACCCTGAGAGACAAGTGGAAAAGACAGTGTCTGTAACCTAAACACCTGCACTGCCTGGGATTTGGGTGGATCAGAAGCTGAGAGAGAAGGTGGGGGGGGGGGGACAGCATCAGGGAAAGGGGGTGTGATGGTGGCAAATATCCACACGGGGAGGCGGACATGGAGAACACGCTAGACCGAGAGCCTGCTGTGAGGGAAAGGACAGAGCTGGGCATAGTGGCTTGTCCCTGAGGTCAGCAGACCTGGGAAGCAGGGCTCTGATTTAGATCTTGTAGTATTTTGTGGCTGTGATTCCTCTTGCCTATCTGTCACGGTGAGACGTCACAACGGAAGGGCTTGAGAAGGCAGATTGACACGGGAGAGGGCTGTTTTCCAGACACCGTGGGCAGCGTGGCAAAAGCTGGATTACAGAAAGGGAAGCCTGAGATCAAGAACAGTCCAAAGGCAGGGCTCTCGGGCAGGTGGAAGGTGGAGGAAGGGACAGATTAAGCCATTTAGTGGCTTGCATTCAAGGCTTGGTCACCAGTTAGCTATGAGGCTCAAGGGCCAGTGAGGTCACAGAGACAAACCATTTTAGGGAAAGGGATTTAGCTACATTTATGGGCGGTTCATAGAGAATTCCTCCTCATCAGCCCACCCAGGTTCTTAAAGGGGGCAGGTTACTCCTTCCTGACCCTTTTCCTCCAGCTGACAACATCTGGACTGACTTTTAATGGCTAGATCTCCTCAAAACAAAACAAAACAAAAAAAATAGAGAATTTCTTTCCGAATTCAAAACACCTCTAGACTTCACGTTTCCTTGTTGGGGACAGAACCGGAGCCTTGGGTACACTAGGTGTGTGCTCTGCAGGGAGCCGCATCTCCAGCCTTCTGCGACGGTGGACTCGGTGAGTCTTTAAACTCAGATCCTCCTGAGTGGTAGGGTTGCATTAACCCTGGCGCCTTGTTTAGATTTGAATTTATAAAGAACCAAAGAATTCAAAATCAGTTCAGGCAGTAACTACGTAATCTTATTTTTGAAAATATTAATTTTGAAGAGGTTTTTCAAGTATAGATTTGATTTCGATGAAACAATTCAAATACCATAATTTTTTTAAAGCGGGTGTGTGTGTGTGGAGACAAACACAGGACAGACAAAACACGCACGAAAGGAGAAGACACAGACACACAGCTCCCACATGGGTGCGCTTTAATGGGGGGGGGAACACGATAAGGGACAGGTGTGCAAGACACACAAGGGTAAGGGGCAAGAGAGAGCGAGACCTCGTGGAAGCTCGCTTTTTAATGAGAAAGGCAAGGGTATCTGGGAGAAATGTCCTGCACCTGTGCGCGCGCGCGCGCGCAGGTGTCTGTAATCCAGGAGGAATCTGGGAGCTGTAGTTTCCAAAAGGAACAACAATAAGAATCTCTATTTTATCCCTTCTTAAAATCACCTTACTTTTTCCTTGAAGTATGGAGAAAATGTTATGTTATACATAAAAAAAAAATCACACTTAGGAATGACTTTCTTAGCTGTGCCTTTGACCCCGGAAGTGGTTGGTTCCGTTTTCAAAGTCCACCTACAGGAAACAGTAATAAGGATACACTGCAGAGGACTATTTAACACCAGGTCTGGTGCCTCAGGGGACAGTAAGTATATCTTTGTCTTGTCTGAGCTGCGATTTGATTCTAACTCAATAGAAAGTTATTAAGATAACTAACAAAGGCTGGTTCCTTTATGGACGAATTCACGGATACTTAAGTAATAGAAACCTCGCAAACTAGCAAACACCCTAAATGAAGTGCCTTGAAAGCAAAACGGCAACATCTGAAAAGCTCATACTGGAAGCAGCATGAACAACAGGCCCCAGGGTCATGTATTAATCTACTGTCTCCAAGACAGGACGTGGACCTCCCCCAAAGCTGGCAACGGCCTACACTCACGAAGACTGAATTAGTCCAGTTAGACCCAAAGAAGGAGGCTTTGTCTGCCTTCTCCCTGGAGACCCCAAGGTAAAGCTGGAATTGCAATTTGCTGGCCAGCCTGGGCTGAGCAAGGCTCTTGTCCTATCCTCTGAAGTAACAGGCAGCCATGTCTAAAGGGAACGCTTAGTGGGCAGGAAGACAGGGGAACAATGAAGCAGGCTGTTCTAGAAGATGACAGAGGTCCCCGGAAGACTCTTCTAGATCCCGCAGTGGTCTCTCTCAGCAGCAGATGCTGCTTCTGAGCAATGACAGAGGCATGTACAGGCACACTAGCTTTGAAATCCGCAGACCCACTCCAGTGTCCCTGGGCCAGTTGCTTAACCTCTGACAGCCAGCCTATTTCTGCATCTGCCAAAGGCGCTAAAGTGTACCTACTTTTAGAGGCGCTCTGGGGATTGAATGAAATAACACACGTAGAAGTACAAAGCCTGCCCCAAGGCTCCAACAGACTTACAGTAGCTTGTCTCCCTTTGCTTGGAAGAGCTGAGGGATTTGAGGGTGCCCCTCCCCCCAGCACTGGCCCTACTTCATCTCTTCATCTGAATGGTGGCAGAAGACAGACTCTCTTGAGTGCCTGGTCCCAGGTCCTTTCCTGCAGACGAAAGGAGGAGTAGGCTGCAGGTGAACGGACCCCGACGATGCTCCGACGATGCTGGATGCAAGTTTGCTGTGCTCAAGGCAGGCAAGGTGACTCATGGGAAGACTGAGCATGTTCGGCCACTGTGGCTGTTATTTAGATCCCAGCTCTGTTTTGTTTTGAGACAGAGTCTTGCTGGATAGCCCAGGCTAGCCTGAAACTCAACATGCTCCTGCCTCCACCCGAGTATAGACCTCTGCCACCACATCTGGCCTGCTGTATCCTTTTCTTCTCAAATACTCAATAAATAAATGAAAAAAAAATTTTTTTGCAAGGACAACAAAATCGTAAAAATTGGAATAAGTATCTGGAGATTTGTGGGGGGGGTTGGTTTTTATTTGTTTGGTTTTTTTGTTTGTTTGTTTTTTTGTGTTTTGTTTGTTTGTTTGTTTGTTTTTCCCCTCACGTGAGAGAAAACTGGTCCAGTAGAACTCCTGAAAGCAGCAGAGGAGGCCCTGTGTCAAAAACCGGGGCACCCCTGGTTGTTGCGTCACAGGTGAGGAACAGAATACAGCACTCTGCTACGCCGAGCAGCCAGAACTTGCGCTGGTGACCCGGCTTGGGAATCTTCATGGACTGATCCCAGCCTTGGGTCCTGCTGTCGGTCATGCCCGAATCAGTTCAGGTCTCCGGCTGCCGTCTCAGTCCGGGAGCCACTATAGCTCTGCCCTCACAGGGTGGCCATGAGACCTGAAGGAGTCTTAGGATCAATGGTGGTAACACTTGTCAGCTGCTCCCCTGTTAGGCCTTTCTTCTC